TGTGCAACATTAAAAAAGTTCAACATGCAACCATTATTAAGAAGTAAAAATTTCAACAAGACAACATGGTGGAACACAATATCAAGGGTAGTAGCAGAGGGGACATATTCCAAATCAAAATATATATATATATAAAAAAATATTAATACAAACCCTTAATACCTGTCCTAAGAAACAATGATTTAACAAGAACAACAAACCCATTTCATTCTCTCTTTTTTTCCCCTTAACTATAAATAACTATTATAGTATCATACTAGATCTCATTGCATCCTATACATGGGTAAATAATGGGGAAAAAAGTGCTATGACAAAATTTAGAAAGTAATTTTTCTTTTTTCTTTTTTTAAGGATGAAAAAAGTAATTTTTCTTTAAATAGACCTGAAATTAAACCCAAGAAAACAATTTGGAAAACAAAATCAATATAAATGCGGGACCTAAATTCTAATTCAAAAAGAGTGATATATCTTTATTTTTATATGCATAATAATGTATTTTATTATGTTATTTGCAATTTTATGCAATCTCATCAACAGAATCAGTGACTCTGCACTCGTGAGATCAATTCAGTGAGTGACTTCATATGAAAAAAAACAATTCCATGACGCACTCTTATCTACAAAATTAAAGACGGAAAGAAAAGAAACGACCAAATTTAAAGCAAAATAATTTGCAAAAGCCGCAGCCTGAAAAATTAAATCCTTTCTGGAAACCAGTATCACAACATATGATTAGCATTTCAAATTATAAAGCGAAATAATAGAATAAACAAAACATAAATAATCATTAATTTCAGCCAATTTCGTAATTAAGAAAGATTAAAAGAAAAAATAACCTAATTGAAATAAATAATTGCAACAAATTAAGAAAAATTTACCCCAAAACTCCATTGAGAGTGTGAGAGAAGTAAGCTTAGGGATTTTCCGAGCTTTTTTTAAATGAAACTTCGTCAGTAAATCAATTCAAGACTTCAGCGACGGTGAGAGAGCGTGTGTGCAGTTTTTATTGGTGGTGGAGTGTGAGAGAAGTAAGCTTAGGGTTTTTCCGAGTTTTTTGAGACGATGTTCCGTTAGTAAGTTCGCGTTCGAGACTTTCAGCGACGGTGAGACAGAAATTTTATGTCGGCGGTTGGTGTCCGCTGAGTTATTAAAGCAGTGAGGATTGGGCTAGGCTGTGATTAGGTGTTGCGCGGAGCACCGTAAAATTTTCTGATGTGGGCTTTTATTGGGTAATCAAGAAGTTTGGACTTTTCTTACCTAATCTTAGGGCCCAAAACTCTTGGACCTAATAATAAACCCATGCTTTGCTTTTCTTTCTTTTTTTTTTTTCTAATTTGTGACCCAAAAATAAATAAATAAATCAAAGTACAAATCAAGCAAAATATATATTGGGAAATATTTTAGATTAAGTGGCTAATTTGACATTATAATTTTTCAAATTGGTAAATAAATTTCTTAATCTTCTATGGTTGCAATAAGATTTCATTTTTAGACCACAACCGATCTTGAAAATTTTGATCCTATTACACAAAAATATGAGGAAAAGCTCAATTCCATTCAAACACAAAAATTTTTAAAAGAAAGATAAAAATTTAAAGAAAATCATTGGTGTCAAACTTTGGGCTGAGGATCAAACTTTGAACTTATAAGCAATAAAAAGAGTAGTTAAATGCAAAAATAAAAGTATTTTTCACGTTTGTATTTTAATATTCAAATTCGACAAGAAAAAGAAATAACAAAACAAGAAAAAAACTAAATTAAATAGATAATATCTAAATAATTATATTTATAAATAAAAAATAAAGAATTTGTGAAACAAAATAATGATGTAGCTTAATTGATATGATACTATACATATTAATTCAATAAAAAATTAAAAATAATTTTAATTATTTATTGATAATCTTTAATAAAAAATTAATTTATTTTTTGTACTTTAAAAATACCCCTTATATAAATATTTGAGTTGAGGAACAAGCCTTTTTGAATGACGAAAAAAGGCACATGCTTCCAGAGTTTGAGTTTGAGAAAGATGATAGAGAAGTGTTCAGATAGAGAAGTGTTCAGAGAATTTGCCATTTTCGCAGCCTTTTTTCTCTCCTTTGATCTAAACCTGGAAAGGATTTTTTTGTCTTTGGCCCTTTGATGCTTGCCCGGCGAGTGCTGAGCTCTTCATTGGACCTAGCGACTTGCCTTTCACCTGCTTATGGGCCCATGGTCGGCGAAAATAGACCTTAAATGGAAATTCTCGAATCCAAACCGGGCTAAGATATTAAATTATTAATTATTTTTAATTTAATTTAATTCAATATTTTAAATATATTTAAACATTTTTAAGCCTTTCAGATCCAATAGGTCGAGTCTCGGAGAATATTTTTAGAAGATTGATCAGGTTCATAGATAGATTTAATTACTAAAATATAGGATTAAGATTATCTTTTAAAATTTTTTATTTCACTGAGTAAATTTTAAAAGTTGACACATGTTGATATCTAATATATTTTAAAATATTTAATTATTAAATGAACATGCAAAAATTATATAAATTTGCCTATAAAGTGAAAAAAAAATTTCGTCGTCAATGTACAAAATAATAATTTTTAATATTGATTATTAATAAATTTTAATAAATATTTAATTGAATTTAAAATTTTGAAGCCTTTTCTTAAAGTTTTACAGCAAACAACCAGGAATGAAAGGGGATAAAGTTATTACAAATTTTAAATCATTTGAAAATTTCAAGCTAAGGCAACAAACTAACAAAATAATAAGCTTGTGAACATTGTTCACAAGGAATCCATAATTTTACTTAATTGATTGATTCAATATTTTTAAAAATATAACATTCAATAGATTTGATATTCAAATCTTAAAATCTGTAACTATTTCCCTTATTATAAGTTGTAGTCTCTTTTATACCAAAAAATATATTATTCACAATTTTTTTTCCTAAGGTTTTAAGATTTTTTTTTTATCAATATAAAACATTTGAAACAAATTTTAAATTTAAATGTTGCTTTCACTTTAGCAGTTGTTTTTTTTTTTTTTAATTTACATTATCAAACAAAAAAATAAAATTACAATCAAATATAATATTTTATATAAAATGATCAACCTCACATAAAATGATATTATGTGTAATTAACAGTACATGCCTTTCAAGCTTTATATATATAAATTTTTTAAAAATAAAAAAATAATTACGGATATTAGAATTTGAATTTCAAACTTATGGTTCCTTTCAAATTTTATATCAAAGTAATTCTATGGTTTATATCTAAGTATTTTATATGGTTACAATAAGCTGGCCAACTTCTCCCAAATTGCATATGATTTATGACAGAAAGCGATCCAAATATTAACAAAATCATAAGATTCATTGAACATAACCTCTTCAACGGATGATATATAAATTTTTTTAATATTTCAATCACTTTCATGATATCATACGAGGAAAACAGCTTTGGTAAGGACTTCTTGCTTTCCTTCAAAACTTTTTCATTTTGTGAAAGGCTTATTCTTAATCATGTTTTCTAACAGTCTGATATGTGTAATAATAATAAAATTTCCCATTTGTGGTGTACATTTATATGAGCCCTACCAAAGACTATATATATATATAATGCAAACTAAAATTTAAAATAATATATTATTATATTATTACAATTATCCATCACGAGTTCTCATATTTTGAAAAAAAGATAATAGTTATATCATTATTAATATTATTAAAATATTATTTTCAATTTATATGATTAAATATATATGTAATTAAACAATTATTCAATAAATAATTATTGATAAATTTATCAATTATGTAGAAAAGATGTAAATATATATATATATATATTTTAACATGGATCTATCTTTGCAAACAACAGCTATTAGATTTTGTGTCATGGGAAAATGTCTGACAAAAGCTTATCATATCTTAAAGGAAATAGGAGAAATGAGAGGGGAAACATAAGAGAAGTTCCAAAAAAGGTAGAAAAGTGCCCTGAATCCAAGCAACCAAACACAAGGAAAAAGCACAATTGAATTATTCAAATTAGATTTGTTTATAAATGGGGTCTGACTTGAATGGACTTCAGACACGAGTCTTGAAATTTAAATATGATTTGAAATTTTAATTTATTAATAAAATTTATCTTTTATTTATTTTTAAAATATATTTAAAAACATTAATGTTTTAATATATTTAAAAAAATTAAAAGCTTTTACGCTCGACGGTAGGATTTTGATTTTTTTTTTTTGAAAAACCAACTAATTCTAACTAATTCCATCTAACTTGATTCATAAACAATTTAATTCAAATTATAAATTATTATGTGTCAAAAATTTTTGTTTCATTTATGAATCTATTGAAATACAGCAATTTTGTGCAAAAAAAATTATAATTAATAGATTTTCTTTTTATAAGAACAATACATTCTATAAAAATGATTTTTTAAATTGTATATTAAATTATAGGCACGGGAACTCTTCTTTTAATTTTTAAATTGAAAAAAAATCTATAATAAGTCATGAAATAAATGTGAAAGGAAAACGTCAAAATTTTTACTGTGGTTTATTACTTTTAGGAGTCTTTTAGAATTATTGTTGCAGTATTGTGAGTAACAGAAATAATTAAAAAAAAATATAAGATAATAAAATATTAAAAATAAAAGAATAATAAAGTGATTTTTTTATTTCAAATGTATTTTTTCATATTAAAACATATTTTGTGAAAAATTTAATTCAGCTTAAAAAAAATCAAACTTTAAAATAAAAAATTAAAAAAAATTTATATTTAATATTATATTTAAATGACTTTCAGTAACAATACTAAAAGAAAGCCTTAATTGTATTACCTTTCAATTTCTTTTTAAGGAGAAAATTAAAGAAAGTGCACTGAGTGAAACACGCGCGCGTGAGTAACGTGTTGTGTTTTTCCGCCAGAGCTAACGTGTTGTTTCAGTTATCCAATTTTTTACAAAGAAGGAATGCAGCCATCAGAGGCAAACTGCAAAACAGTGTCTGACCCAAGCAAGAAATCTTTATATTTGGGGAAAAAAAGAAAAAAAATCATCCAATCAACGTTTGAACCAGACATCCGGCTTTTCGACTTTTCCTAAAAAAAAAAAGTGAAATAACGAGAATATTACGATTAGGCCACCGAATAAAACTGGGATCGCCTCCTCTCTCTATTTCTGTCTCTCCAACAATCGAATTATAGAAAGGGAAAAAAAATTAGAAAAAGACGTTCCGAAACGAAATAAATCATTGCGAGAGTAAAAAGAAAAAGGCTTAAAAGCTTGAAATCTTCAACAATGGCGGTTCCTAGGGTTTTGTGATCGGCGATTTATTATCAATGGAAATGCCCGGTAGAAGATCCAACTACTCTCTTCTTGGCCAGTATCCTGACGACCCGTATTCCGTGTCCATATCAGGAGCTCCGCCGCCGTACAGCGATTCGTTTTCGAGCGAAACCACGAGTAATAAGAACAGCAAAGTGAAATCAGAGAGAGTTTTAATCGATTGGGATCAAAATCAGAGTCAGAACCAAAGCCAGAACCAGCAACAAGCGAGCCGAATCGTCGGCGGCGGTGGGGTAGGAGGAGGAGGGAATACTTATGCTTCGTCGATCGGCCTTCAACGGCAATCGAGTGGCAGTAGCTTCGGTGAGAGCTCGTTATCGGGAGATTGTTATGTGCCGACCCTTTCTACGACGGCGGCGAACGAGATTGATTCGTTCGTGTACGGTCACGATGAGAGCTTTAGGCATGGGGATTTCAGAGCGAAAGTTGAGGGTTCGTCGTTGGGGAAAAGCTGGGCGCAGCAAACGGAGGAGAGTTATCAGTTGCAGTTGGCGTTGGCTTTGAGGCTTTCTTCGGAAGCTACCTGTGCTAATGATCCAAATTTTTTGGATCCTGTTCTGGATGATTCCGCAATCAGGACGGCTAGCTCAAGCTCTGCCGATACAGTTTCCTACCGGTTCTGGGTAAGTTTTCTTGTGGATTTTTTGTTCGTTGTTTGTTCATTACACTAAGAGCTTGTTTAAACGAACTTAACGATCAGTAAGGCCAGAGATTGAAAAAGGTGCCTAGGTGAATATAAGTAGTTCTGATAGTGAATAGATTTCATTTTTGGATGATTTTGAACGTTTATTCCGGAGATAAACTGGATGATGCGTGTGAATTCACCTGGTGTTCTGAACGCTAAATGATGCAGGGTATAGGATGTGAAAAGTTGGTTGGTGCTAACAGGAGTTTTCCAGTGGTTCAGGGTTAGGTCAATGTGAACTTTTCTAGAGGATAATTAATTGGCATTTTGGAAAATATCTATTATTTACGATTGGGAAAAGACAAAAGCATTATAAGGAGTTGGAAGAAATACCCTACTGTCACGATCAAACTGTAGTAGCGCCGAATTATTACTTGACTGGTTAACCATGATGGATGGATGTTGTCTGAATGGTGTGCGTGCATTTTAAAGAACCAGACTAGCCTTTACAATATTTTTTTACAATTTAAAATACGTGTGAAATGATTGCTTACTTTTTTTTTCTTCTTTGTGGTTTAATCAAACAATCAGGATGATGATTCTGTTGACCAATTAGATTGTTGAAAATGTTTATTTTTGCTAGCAAACTTCAATTATGCTATTTACAGAAATACCAATTTTAGAGTTTGAAAATGTTGAAGAGAAAAGTGCTGTATTAGATGGATTTTGGTAAAGTTTTCTGCTCTAGAATGGGGGCATGTGCAAAGGGCAATGCAAATGATATTGTTAATGATGATTTTTATTATTTTGATAATTGGCAAGTGTATTTATACCTATGTGATGTATTGTCATTGCGGGGAAACTGGGAGTATATAAGCTGCACAGCATCTCAAATACAGATGCACGGACTGGGAATTTACATAAGTTTCAGGATTTGGCTAATAAAATTTTGGGAATTCAAATATCCTGCCTTTTCACTTTTATGTGCTTCAGGTGAATGGCTGCTTATCATACTCTGACAAAGTTCCTGATGGGTTTTATTTAATTCATGGAGTAAATCCCTATGTCTGGAGTATGTGCACTGATCTGCAAGAACATGGTCGAATTCCATCAATTGAATCTCTAAGATCTGTTGACCCTCCTTCTGATTCACCACTAGAAGTGATATTGGTTGACAGAAGAAGTGATCCGGGTTTAAAGGAACTCCAAAATAGAGTTCACAACATTTCTTGTAGCTGCATAACCACAAAAGAAGTTGTTGATCAGCTAGCAAAGCTTGTCTGCAGTCGCATGGGGTGAGTTATCTACTCCATTAATGTACAAATTTTCAACATTCATGCATTTTTTTGCACCTTGATGACGAATTATTTTATTGCTATTCCAAGGGGTACATCTACTACAGGAGAGGATGAGTTTGTTTCCTATTGTAGGGAGTCCAGTGATGATTTAAAAGATTGCTTAGGTTCAGTTGTGGTTCCTATAGGTAGCCTATCCATTGGCCTCTGCAGACATCGAGCTTTACTATTCAAAGTAAGGTTCTAAGTTTTATGGTGTTTTCATTTCATCTGAGATCTTATGAAGTATTTTTCGCTTTAATTATAGTTAGCATTTTATGTCTTCACTACATCTTTGTAGGAGTAAGTTTCCTTTATAAAATGTGTTTTACTTTGAAGGAAAGAGGATTCATTCACTGTTCAAATATAATTTATGCAGGTGCTAGCTGACACAATTGATCTACCATGTCGAATTGCAAAGGGCTGCAAATATTGTAAACGAGATGATGCTTCCTCCTGCCTTGTTTGCTTTGGGCTTGACAGGTATTTTATATCAGAACCAAGGTATTTTGGTTGGTATTAATTATTTTTGCTTAACTTTGTTTCTGATTGATAATCTTTTTTCCTTTAAATCCTGAAGTTGTTATTCTTCTATTGTGATTTTGTTTTTGAATGGCAATATTTTGCTAACAAAATAAACCCTGCCTTTTAATTGATGTTGTTGCTGGTCATGTGGAAATGAACAAATTCTTTGAAACAAAAGTGCCTAATTCCACCTGCTACTTCACTTGCATGGTGGCAGTGCATTTGCTTATTCTGATTCTTTCTTCCCATTTTGGTCTATGATTAGTGAAAAATTTTATGTGTAAGCTATCTAGGTGAAATATTTGCTATATGCAAGAAAAATCTCATGAAGACAATCTTTGTGATTTCAGGGAGTATCTTGTTGATTTAATTGGGAACCCAGGTTACATATGCGAGCCCGATTCCTTGCTCAATGGTCCATCTTCCATCTCAATTTCTTCCCCATTGCATTTTCCACGTCTCAAACCAGCTGTACCTGCCGTTGATTTCAGGTCATTGGCCCAACAGTATTTTTCGGACTGTGAATCACTTAATCTTGTATTTGATGATGCTTCAGCTGGTAAATTTCAGTTACTATCTATATAAAGAGCTTTAGTGAATGCCTTTTTATTTGCTTTGAGATTTTAGGCTTTAGCCTTTCACTTGGCTTGACATATGTAGTTTCTTTTGATCATCTGCTTGGAATGCTGGCTTTCATATTTGGTTAAGTGCCTTCCCTCGTATGCTGTTGGTCAAAGATTGATTGGAGTGTTTCAAGTTTTTATAAAAATTTTCTGCATCTTCACTGATGAAATCAATAGATAATTACTTCTCTGCCAGTGTAATTGTGTTCTAACTTAACAGTTTCTTGTGAATCTTCTACTGAAATTTTTGGCATGGGATTTTGACAAAAATTTCAACCTGGAGTCAAATCAAGGCATTGTCTTAAATGTTTCGAAGTTGCTAGGGAAAACCAGAAAAGTGACCCTGGCTGTCTATATGTGGACAGGCATCTATAAATAAAATTTAAGCTGGTGTTTAATATTGTCAATTGCTTCTTGTTGTTGTTGAGGCTGTCATTTGTATATATGTAATACATTTAAAATTTTGTTTATGAACACCAGGTGGCATTTTAAGAAGCAATATATTCTTTATATGGGGAATGTTTGTGACTTTAATTATGATGCCTTTTCTAGGGATTCAGTCATAACTATATTAAAATTTACACGGTTAAACTTGTGCTTCTGTATTCATCTGATATGCGAGTAAGCTATAGTTGTTTTGCCATTTCAGGTGCTACTATGGATGAAGAAAATCCTGGATTCTCTCTTTATCCCAAGAAAATTGATAAGATTGGCACAGGCAGAAATAACCTTGTGCAGATCTCAAGTATCATGGATGATATCTCACAGTTGCCACTACCTCCTAAAATTGCCCGGCCAACTGCTCATGATAGAGATTCCCAATATTCTCAATCCATAATACAATCAAAGAATCCTTTAAAGCGCATCTCTCCAATAGGTCATCGAGATTTGTTGAGGGCAACGGGGGATGCTACTAAGGATTTAAGGTTTGTTGAGGGCAGTCAACTTATTCCCAGCAAACCAAGTAGGGAACTTGCCCTTGAAGTTGATGATTTTGACATTCCATGGAGTGATCTTGTTTTAAAAGAGAAAATTGGTGCTGGTATTTTCTGGTCCCTTTCTGAAGAACTTTTATTTTTACAGTATAGAGACCAAATTTGTTGCTCTTAATTCATGCTGTTATAGTTCCACCAGTTTACTTAGGTTTATACTTTGTTCTTTTCAGGTTCTTTTGGCACTGTCCATCGTGCTGAATGGAATGGCTCGGTAAGAATCCTTTTGATTATTTTTCTTATTGCTGTAAGGATAAAGTTAAATGTTATGAAAGTTTTATGTTTGATATCTCTTGTGCCATATTGTTCATTTCTAACATATGCTTTCTTGTATTTCTAAATTCTTGTTGTCTTATAGAGTATTTTGGTGCCTATTTTGTTTGTGATGTTCTTTAGGAATGAGAAAACATCAACAATTAGTCATATATGTTTGACAAGTGAAAGTAGATAGATTCATTAATTACATGTATTGTATCTGTGAAGTTGCAGAATTTGTTTTATTTGTCATTTTTGTAGTATTTGAGGCTACCAGAGATTGAATCCTGATCAATGAAACTAAGAGTTTAATACTCTATCAACAGATGTCTCATTTTTTTGTTTGTCTTCTGATTTTAGGAGTTAGGGTTATTTAAGGAATTTTTAGATTTTCTAGAATATGGTTTATGATGCGATCAACTTTGGGTGTGAAGTCTAGGTTATCTTTTTTCTTGTCTCTGAATCAGTTGCTGCACTATAATTCTTAAGGTTCAAATCTGAAAGCTGCTTGAAATTTAGAAACCTTTTCTAACCATTGTTCACTTGAGCTCTCATCAATTGACCATCAAAACTCCTCTCAAATCCAAGTTATTAATCTGGATACTGTTCATGCTTGTTGTAGTGCTAGACCCTGTTATGCTATAAACCTTTCTAATCCAGCGTTCATTCTATTTTTTCACATGCTTTTTCTCTTTAGCTATATCCATAAATGAAAAAGGGTTCACAATTAGGAAAATCTGGCAATGCATCTGGGTTCATATGTAGTTATAGTCCACTATATAATCGAAGTACAAGATAAATCTTAGGTCAATTTCAAAGCTGCGCTTAGCAAACAATCTTCAATTATGCCAACTAAGAACACAAACAACTTTATAGTTTCAATTGTCTATGTTTGGTAGACATCTTTCTGTGACCAACTTTGCTACTGTTTCATTATAAGAGTGAACTTGTTCTTTATCCTATTTTATTTTGGAGTTTGGTCCATCTTCTGTGATGTTTTGACTTTCAAAGTATTCAGTGCTTTTGTACTGGAGTTCCTCAGTAAATAAGTTTTCTTAATGTATTTCATTATAAACTAATTCAAATTGTTTTCAGTTGCATGAAATTTTGATCGGAACAAACCACATAGTGGTCAAACTTTGGATGTGTTGTTGATAATTCCTCTTCATCCCAATAAACATTATTTTTAATTACAGGATGTTGCTGTGAAAATTCTCATGGAACAAGACTTGCATGCTGAACACATCAAAGAATTTTTGAGTGAGGTATGAGTTGACTGACATTTTGAGCAGACTTTGTTCCTGAGCTTAAGGGATTTTACATTCATGTTCTTGATGTGATGTGTAGTTTCACCTCAATTGTTTCTTAGGTTGCTATAATGAAACGTCTACGGCATCCAAATATTGTTCTTTTTATGGGAGCAGTTACTCAGCCCCCAAACTTGTCCATAGTGACAGAATACTTATCAAGGTTTGTTACTGTTTTTGTCTTCCTTTTTTTTTAAGTACCCCTTTGTTTGCACTCTTCTATTTGAAAAAAGAGAAAAGCAAAAAAAAAATCATGTCTACTTTTAAGACTCTACTCATTTTAGAGGTTTGAATTGTTGAGTTAACTAAAACCTTGATTCTTGCAGAGGTAGCTTGTATAGGCTTTTGCGTAAGACCGGTGTGAGAGAGGCGTTGGATGAGAAGCGCCGATTGAGTATGGCCTATGATGTGGTGGGTTTTCAAAACATATACTTTCTTTTTGCTTTTATTTCCTTCTTCTTATGGTATCATCCTTAAATTTTGTACATTGTTTTGGTCTAAATTACCTTCTCTTTTTATGCACAGGCAAAGGGAATGAATTATCTTCATAGACGCAATCCTCCTATTGTTCATAGAGATCTAAAATCTCCAAATCTTTTAGTTGATAAAAAATATACAGTGAAGGTAAGACCCACATGTTGCTGCTGTGTCTCAAAGAGTATTAATCTTTCACCTAATGATCCTGTGATAATAAGCATAAACATTTTGATGTTTTCATTTACTTATTTATGCTGTGGAGCAAATGCTAAGTTATTGACTTCTAGATTTTTGAACTGATAATGGAATCTAGATGGTCCTCAAACCTGATAATGTTGTTAAATATGTTAGAGGCAGCCATTGGTTGAAAGTTGATAACAGTTCTCAACTAGTTTTCTGTGATCGTATCTGGGATTATGTATTGTTGAAGCGAACCTTGTTTACTTTCGTTTGTTGCTTTGTTTGTAATATATATCTAGTTCCTTTTTGTTGCAAATTTCTCTCAAAAGTTTTATTGATTTTGGGCCTGCCTGTGAGTTAATATTGTGTGCTTCAGAATTTGTTTAGTCAATAAGAGGGAACTACTATCTGGTTATCTCTTGGATCTAATTTTGATCTGACAAAGGACAAGTAATTGTGTTACACCACTTTCATGGACTCCTGCTTGGTGTTACATTATTTATGGTGATGTTAACACAGCTATAATGAATGTAGTTTTACTATGTTCTGTTAAAGTGCATATCCATACAGTGTCTGTTTTATGGCTTGCGAGTTTATTTCCTCTGTTGTAACTTGTAGGGAATAGTCAAGTAGATTCAAAGTCCTTGTACTTTTGTTGAGTTACTTCACATAAATCTTCCTCACATGGCATGGTCTGTTTGTTTAGGTTGGTGATTTTGGGCTTTCTCGTTTGAAGGCAAACACATTTCTTTCATCCAAGTCAGCAGCTGGAACTGTAAGTGATACTGTGCTTAACAATGTCATTGGTATTTCTGTTTCAGTTACCATAGGTCACTGTGTATGCTGCATAATACTAATAAATATATATATTTTTATATTAGCCTGAGTGGATGGCTCCAGAAGTTCTTCGTGATGAGCCATCAAACGAGAAGTCTGATGTATACAGTTTTGGTGTAATTTTGTGGGAGATTGCAACATTGCAGCAACCATGGGGCAACTTAAATCCAGCACAGGTTTGTTAAGTCATTATAGATCTTGTTCCCACAGATATCTCATTTTGTTTACGAGCTTGACAAGGAGCATCTTGAAATCTTCTTTAGAAGGAAACTTTTTTTTTGAATTAAAGACAGCACTCGATTGGTTCCAAGTTGGTTGGAATAATAATGCGGCAAGTGAAAATTTCTGGGAGAAGAGCAAACCAATATTATATGTACCTTGAACAACAGTGTTTTACAACCTGAACTATAGATCACATGCTTGAATATCATTTGAAAGATGAACTCTCTGGATATCTTTAATGCAGAAATCTTATATTGAGATAAAGTTCAAATTTGTCTTATTTAACAGAATGTTTATAATCGAAGACCTCATGTTTTGTGCCTCAGAAAAAGGTGTGAAACTCATTGCAAATAGGCACCTGTTCTTTAAAATTTTAGCAGCTTGCTATGAGTAGCAATGTTTGCACTTTGTGGACTAAAATACCCCTCAATTAACATTAGCAATTGATATATCAGTACTTTTTGTATAATTAGTACCTTTAAAACTCAGGTTTTTCGTTACTCAAAACTATTTTATATATTTGCATAATTGTCATGCAAGGGATATCGTCTCTCTAACAAGCATAGCCCAATGTAAACTGCCTCATAGGTTGTAGCAGCTGTTGGTTTCAAGGGCAAAAGGCTTGATATTCCACATGATTTGAATCCTCAAGTGGCTGCCATGATTAAGGATTGCTGGGCCGAGTAAGTCAAATTCTTTTCTGATATGGAGCTTGTTAAGCAGAATTTTCCCGTTTAAACTATCTGTGTTTCTTCATTGTCATTGTTGATTATGCAGTGAGCCATGGAAGCGTCCTTCATTTTATGATATCATGGAACGGCTGAAATCATTGATTAAACCGTCCACCCCTCAACCAGGGCGTGCTGACGTGCCATTGCTTACCTGAATGGTTGGGACTCCTGCAAAGTTTTCTTGATGCACATAATACAGCATTCTTTTTGACATTATATGCGTTGCAAGGATACATGCTGTTAAATAATCTGGTACGCTCTTTTCAACACTTCCGCTTCAAATTAAAGAACATGCTATGCTGTTCTCTTTAGGTGTCCTGTTGATACTGGGATCATGGTGGGCTTCTCCTTGAGAAAAGAAGAGGAAAGCTTCGAAATTGTAAATTTCCTTTTTTAATGCAGCAGACACATATGCTTCTGCTGATGCATACGCATTTATCTTCCTTTTTTTTTTTTTATGAGAATTGTCATTTGATCTGCATTGTTTGCTATACTGATACTTGCCTTAATTTGGCTATTTGCAGAATTATTGTTGTACATGTCTGTTCTCATAGCCAATTGGGACCTCTCTTTTTTAACGTGAACTAAGTGGTTGCTCTGTATTAACCCCGCCTGTTGGCAAAGGTAATTGTTTCTACAAGTAAATTTTTACATGCAATTACGGGAAAAGTTGCATCATATCGTCTCTCATAGATTTTGTATGTAAATATTGTAACTGAAATTAGCTCAATGAGAAGCAGCTTTTCGCTATTCAGACTTGAGATCTGTCTCACTTGTAACTACATAGGCTTTAAAATGCCTCTATTCAACTTTTTGAATTTGATTAATATCACTAATATTATGCAGTGAACTTGTTAAGAAAAAGTTACCTTCTCTTCCAAAAAATAAATTTAATATTAGACTTGAAAACTTTGTCATCGAATTGTGTTTCATGTTAGACATAATTTTAAACATGGCATGAACAAGTTTGATACGAGCACAACATGAAACTTAAATGATACGAATAATCAAAACAAGAAATACGATACATTTATTACATGTGTTATGTGCGACATAATGTCACTAACATGTTATTCATTTTAAGAATAAGTAATATTATACGATACGATTAATACAATTATATATGATTAATATGATTAAATATGATTCACATTAAAATATTTAATCAATAATTCAACATTAAATCAAAATGATAATATAATAAAAATATTAAAACAAGATTATATACATGTTATAAATGTGTCATTTATATGTGTTAATACGATAACATGATTAATTAATTAATCACATCTTAAACATCTAATATGTGTAAGATATGAAATATGATATGTGCAACATTGTATCTTAGACATATTGATATGATTATAAAAAATAAATAAATGGTTATTATTTATCGTTTTATATGATGTTATCGTATAGCATTTAAAATTAACGAATTTAACTAGTATCTATGTTTTAGATGTTATGTTCATTTGATTTTGTTTTTTGATTTAGTAATTTTAGATATGATATAATTATATGATAAGAAAAAAATTGATATAGTTTAAAATTTAAAATAAATTGCATATGAATTTAATAAAAATAAAAAAAATTTATTTCGTGTTTGATCTATTAATATAAATTATGATATATAAATTATGATATGATAATTTTATATTTATATGTATGTAATATAAAATAAATATGTTTATGTTTTACATTTAGCAACAAATATGATATAAATACTAAAATTGTTCAATGTACCAGTGAAGAGTCTCCTTTTGGTAGTCCTTGTTCGGCGGCCTTTTCATTTCTATGTGAAGAAAAGGACATCTCTCCACCGTTTCTCGTCAGTTAATAGAGATGGGAAAAAATCATCAAAATAAAAGTGATTATTCAATTTTCAGGTAACCAAAAAAAAAAGAAGAAAATAATTAATTATTAGAAGCGAAACATCACGTGCACAATAAATAGATTGAAAAAAAAAAAAGATTGGTCCGTCCAAAATCCATCTGACAAGACTTCCAAACGAAAATCCACTAATTTCATTGATCCGTCGGATTTAGCTTCGTCACCAAGTATTTTGACCAACATGTCAACTTCAAACGCTGAAACAATTCGTTCAGTTTCCCCAAAACAAATGTTTTCAAGCCAGCTCAGAGACAAAAATATCTTGTCCAACAGTGGACCCTAACTGCTTCTTTCCGACCAGTAACCACACAAACAAAGATTTGATCCTTCAAAAACCCAGCGGAAGTAACTGCCTGGAAACAACCCAAAACTTTGGTCGGCGATTCTTTTCTTTCTCAATTCTTAATTTTTGCAGCGATTCAATAATAAATGGCTCATAAACATTCCACGTTCAAATCAACGACAGTTAATGTCGTTGAAGAAAAAGGCGAACCACCTCCCCCCACCGCCTCTGATAATTTTTTTTATCGTAACAGTTTGTCGGTTTAAACCCTTCAAAACCCCCCTTCCACCACATTTTTTTCACATTAGATTCTTCTTAAACTGAAACCCAGAGCTCTTTTTGAAGCATTTTTCTGTATCTCCGAAAATCAAATGAACCCAGAGGACCAAAAACACTCTTCGAATTCCCCTCCAAACCCACCCCAAACGTTGCATTTCCCTTCTCCAATAATGGAATTGGAAACATTTTCATCAGCACCAGCTGGAACGGAGTTTATTGGAGTGCCTCAACCTTTGGAAATTCTTCAGGGGAATCCAGTACCGCCTTTTTTGTCGAAAACGTTTGATTTGGTCGACGACACGTCGTTGGATCCGATCATCTCTTGGGGTTCGACGGGAGAGAGCTTTGTGGTATGGGACCCGCTCGAATTCTCCAGGCTGATACTTCCTCGGAATTTCAAGCACAATAATTTCTCCAGCTTTGTTCGTCAGCTTAATACTTATGTGGGTATTATTACAATAACACAGCCTACAAAAAAACAAAACAAAAAAAAAGAGAAAAATGAAAATCGCCGACGTCATTTGATTTTCTAGATTTTGTTTCTCTTTATTTGCTTGTTTGTTTGCTTTTGTTCTCTGTGTTATTGTTTTAAATTTTCTATATATATTTTCGGTTTTAAGGCTTAGTCTGTAAATTGAATTCTGTAATTGCAGAAGCCAGACACATTTTAAGCAGGTAGAAATTTGGGTTTTGGTGGAATTTTTGTTATTGTGATTAAGTACTCGAGTTCACACTCATAGTCTCTACTTCTAACAAATTTTTTGGGAAGAAAGCTGATCTTGTGATTCATGATAAACATATCATCATGTAGTGCAATCTGGCTCCTGGTATATCTGAAAATTGACGGCTTCGAATTGACTTATGTGAATCATACTCTTCATATTTTTGGTTTTCTTAACAATCCTGTTTCCCCACTCATTCTTGAATCATCTTATGTGTTTTTTTCAGGGATTTCGCAAAGTTGATACTGATAAATGGGAATTTGCTAATGAAGCTTTTCAGCGAGGGAAGAGGCATCTTTTGAAGAACATTCAGAGGCGTAAGTCAGCTCAATCACAGCAGGTTAGTGACTATTTTGGACCTTCTACTGAATTGGGGAGGTCTGGATTGGATGGTGAAATAGAGAGGTTGAGGAAGGAGAAGAGCAGGTTGATGCAGGAAGTAGTGGAACTGCAGCAGGAGCACCGGGGTACAGCTCGCCATGTGGAAGTAGTGAATCAGAGGCTTCAATCAGCAGAACAAAGGCAGAAGCAAATGGTTTCATTCTTAGGGAAGTTATTTCAGAATCCTGCTTTCTTATCACGCCTTAGACAAAAGAAGGAAAAGGGAGAAATTGGTTCTCCAACAATAAGGAGGAAGTTTGTCAGGCACCAGCAGCTTGAACCGGCCAATTCAGAATCACCCGTTGAAGGGCAGATTGTGAAGTACAGACCTGAATGGACAAACCTTGCTATATCATCTTCAGTCCCAGATTTAAATCCAATTTCTGTTGAACAATCTCCAGATTTCCTACCTGAAGTTGTAGCTGGAATTGGTTTATGTGAAGAAGACTTGCCATTTCAAGTTGATGATGAAATAGTTGTATCTGATGAGTTGGGGGTTGCTCGTGGATATCTCAGAACCCCAGAGCTCCTGAGAGAAGGTAAATCAGGCTTGGGAAGCAAAGAACTCCATTTCGAAGGGAAGAACGTAATGGGCTCAGACCAAGTGGTTAATCCAGGGAATTTTATCTCTTTCCCAGAGGATTTGGTGAAGCAGAAAAGCACACCAGAGTTCTCATCTCCTATTGGTGAAACCCTTGCTAAACTAGAGGATATATGGAGCATGGGTTTTGATGCTACTTCTGGTATGTCTAGTTCTAGCAATGAGTTATGGGGTAATCTTGAAAGATATGAAATTCCGGAGTTGGGAGTGACTTGTGGGTTATCTGATGTATGGGATCTGGATTTCTTGCAAACAGCACAAGATTCAGTCACTGATAAATGGCCAGCTGAGGAATCCCCTTTCTATAATTATGATACTGAATGTCAAGCTGGCCAGCCAGAAGATAATAGGTCTAAGAAGACAGATCCATAATGGTTCATTTGCTTTTGGCAGATGGTGCCTTTGTGGATCGTAGAAATCTTCAGTTACTAGGATGAAGGGTCGATTGGACAATTGATTTATGAGCATATTAATTGAATGCCAGATTTTTCCCCCTAATATTAGTATCAGTAGAGGTTTCTGTTCTTTTTTTCTTTTCAATTTTGATTGTGAAGCTTGGTAGCTTCAATTATAAGCTAACTCTTCCAATCAATCTTTTTCTTCTGTTGCTGTGCTATATGATGGTTTGCACTTGAAATTGCAGGTTTTCTACTTACAGATACGTTTGAGTTATAAAATTGCAGGTTGAGTCGAAGTATTGTACATCCATTTGGCTTGGCGCCATATTCTTTATCCATCTGGCAGGACTGGCATGTGAAATATCAGGTAAGAAATGACATCTTGATTGTTGTTTTTTCTGTGGTTGCATTCTTATCAGTCACTGCATAACTTTAGAACTTGATTGACAATTTCATCATGGATGCAGGGTTTGCCTCATTTGTTGGCATGTAAGCTCTTGGATAATATCCTCAGTAACCTTGTATTTGTATTTGTGTACTTGGCATTTAATCTAAATAAGACTTGAACATTTAAGCAAAGAATTAAGCAACCTCAGGAATTAGTGTAATTCTCAAAGAAATTTGATGGATGGATTTTCCTGTATGCTGAGGTGACATTGTGGTTGGCAGATTGTAAATGTTAGGAAGGTTTTAATTTGTTTATCACTTTGATTTGGTCTAATCTATATGTTGAATCGCATGCTTCCATTGATATAATCTCTCCCTGCAAAAAGTTGAAGCAAAACTTCCTTTCAAATGCTTCGGCTCATCTGCATTCTCAAATCCTTCAACAAACACAATCAAAGGCTTTGATCCCACCCATGGAGCTACCTTCTTGTTATAAGTGAATGATTCAATGGATTTAAAATTTTCAACCCTAACCTCTACTTGATCATAAATATGGTGATGATCCTACATCCGACATAGGACAAGATTAACGGCTCGCTTCCTTGAGTGTCAATCATACTGCAAAAAAAACGGCACATAATCAACAAATATGATTGAAAAACTGATAGCATAGAATGTAAGTGAGAATCTAAAAAATTTTGCTACACAAAAGCAACCGAAGCATTTCACCTACCATAATTATACTATAATTAATCAATCATAATTTAAAATTATATAAACTCTTATCAAAATTCTTTATTGTAATGGACAATTGTGGCATTAATAATAACAAGGTGATAACACTCCCGCATTAGACAAGGGCTATACTAAATAGTAAAACTGTAACTCTCTCGAGAATTCGACACCTCTGCCCAATTGGGTTTTTGGGCCAGACCCGATTAATGAGTTCATTTGGGTTTGGATTTACTTTTATTTATTCTTCACCCGGCCTATCACCTGCAAGCCACCAGATAATTTAAATAGAGCGGTGCTATTTGCTCCTCTACTAACACTCAATTTTTTATTTAACACATTTCAAATTCAAAATATAAATTTATTAAAAATCTAAACACCCTGTCTCGTTATACCTCATCTCTTCTCTCTTTTCAACCGAAAATTTATAAGATTTTAATTCTATTTAAGTCAAATTAAAAAAAAAATTACTCATTTAAAAGTTAAAAAAAGATAAAATTAAATGCAAATAAATTTTTTATTTGATTTCATATTTAATTTTATAAAATTTTATATTAAAATATTTAGATATGATTTGACACATTTAAAAATGAAAATTTGAAATTACTTAAAAATTTACAAAAATAAATGTCGAAATTTTTTTCGAACTTTTTGAAAAGTTGAAAATTTTAAAAAATTTTGAAAATAAATTTTAAAAACTTTTAAAAATAAGTTTTCGAAATAAAATATAAAAAATAAAAAATAATTGATTAATTTTAATATTTAAATTTTGGAGTATATTGAAAAAAAGATGTGTGCTAGCAGCACTCTTTAAAAATCGATCTTTAGCCTCCACACTCATAAATTTACATTTATAGCCCTCAACCTTTCCCCCTTCCATATTTTCCGTTCAACGTCGGCTCTCTCGCTCCGCTCTCTTCTCTTCTCTCCTTTTCACTCTTAAAAAATCTCCATTCCAATCAATCCCTAATTCCCTCTCTATTATTTTTTCTTCCAATCGAAGATTCTCATCTCCTTTTTTTTTAGAAATTAGGATTAACCTTTTTCGTGGTAATTAGCCTTGTAATTTTTTTCCCTCATTGTAAATAGGGTTTTGCATTTTTTTTTTTTAAATTTCGATTTAGATTCTTATTGTATTTGTTTAATTCTTTATTTCTGTTGCTGTTTTTGGATTTGCTAATTTCATGTAAATGAAAGAAGATTTGTTATCGATTTAGGGTTTTCGATTTTCTTTTATGTTAACCAATATGGAGAATCCTCGTAGATCATTTGATAGATCAAGAGAACCCGGTTTTAAAAAACCGCGGCTAACCGAAGATCTCGCTCCGAACCCTAACGGCCGGCCTTTTCCTCAACGGCCTAACCCAGTTGGTCACGCCTCTGCTTTAAGATTTCGACCCAGTGATTCGGAGACCAATGACTTGAGCCGCACCGGCGGAGCTTACGAACCGCAACCAGTGTCACATCAGCAGCAACAACAGCAGCACCAAGAGTTAGTTAGCCAGTACAAGACAGCGTTAGCTGAGCTGACTTTTAATTCGAAACCTATTATAACGAACTTGACGATAATAGCCGGTGAGAATCTTCATGTCGCCAAGGCGATTGCTGCCACTGTCTGCGCCAACATTCTTGAGGTGAACTCAGTTTTAGCTGCGCCTTATCCGTTAAAGATTTTCCTTTTTGTTTGGGAAATAAATTATAAGTGTGCTCCAATACTGTGGAAAGAAAAGAAAAGAGGAAAAGATAAATTAGATTGTAAGTGTAAATTGGGATTAATGGATTCCTTTAGATTCAGTTTTATCAATGTGTGTCTCGATGTGGGTTTGTTAAATTGTTTTGCTGACTTATTACAAGCTCAAATTCTATATGTTTGTCTGAATTTTCTTTTTCTTTTTCCTTTTTCTTATTGACAAACGCAGCGTGAGAGATGGTAATGATGTGATGCGATTGCCTAGTCTGTGCCTAAGGCACGTTGCCTGTAAATTTTTTTTTCGTTTCTTGGATTTCTGTGCTAATTTTTCATGGATCTAATATGCTTCTAATGGCCCCACAATCTGTAAACAGCCAGCTACTGAATTAGAGATATGATAAATTTTACAGGCATGTGTTGAAATGGAATATAAAGAGAGCCAGCATCTTGTGAGACTATTGATTTCATGGAAAATGAATTGTATTGGGTTTGGAATCTGATAAGGCTATTATACCCTTGCAGTTGGGTTTTTTTTAACAGCAATATCATTGTATGCTCCACTCTTTTGTTGATTTCCATTTCCTTTTTCTTTCTTAAATAAGTATAGCACTTTCTAACTTACATGTTACCATCTCTTGCCGGCAACATTTTGTTATATTACTCAAATCACATTTGGATGCTGATATGAGTAAATAGAACTAGAAATGCTAAGGCCATGGTAAGTGCTTAAGTTAAGTTCCCTTTTACTTCCTGCCGTCTTGGGTTTCCCATTGGCAAATGGTAAAGATCAGCTTTAAGTCTACCAAAAGCTTATAATGGTGCCTCGGATTTGATCTACTTGATTCTGAAAGAATTTATGCTCTGTGATGGAGCTAATTTGTTAAGGCTGCAGACAGATAGAAAGTCACTAAAAACAGGGGAAGAAAATGAAATTAAAAACAGATATGGCGAAGTCAGATTTTAGGGAAATGGAATTAAACACTTGAGTTGTTGAAGTTGAAGGGCTGCCTATCTTTGGCACCCAGAATTCATTCGAAAACTTTGTTTACAGATGAAAAATCTTCATTATTGAATCTTTTATTTTTATTTCTTCTTCTTTATGAGGAAAATGAAAGCTTTGGTTCGTTTTATTTTTCTGTTTGCAATCCTTATTCCTCTGTCTACTGGCGTTCTTTTCATTCCAGCATTGCTGGTATTATGGATGTGATTAGTATTTTGAAGAAGAATTAGTCCAATTAAGGTTTGCTTTTGTGGTTTGAAAGCTGATAAAAAAATGACTTTGCAGGTTCCCAGTGACCAAAAGCTGCCATCGCTCTATCTTTTAGACAGTATTGTAAAGAATATTGGGAGAGATTACATTAAATATTTTGCTTCCAGATTACCTGAGGTTAGGTTTCATTATTTTTTTTGGCTCTGTTGCTCAATGTGGCATCTGACAAAATGTCTTGTAATATGCTTATGTTTATTGTCTGAAAAACTGCAGAAGACTATGTCATCAATGAAAAGGATCATACCTTTTAACAATATATCCATCCTTGTTATGTGCTCAGAGTCTCAAACTCTTCTAAATGCTAAAAGTGCCTTTGTATATTACTTCTGTTTTTACCTAGAATGTGTTTGATACTCATTTTGCAAGTGTAATAAATCTTACCATTTTAACTGCTGGTTTAGGTGTTCTGCAAAGCATATAGGCAAGTTGATCCTCCTGTGCATCAGAGTATGCGACATCTTTTTGGAACATGGAAAGGGGTTTTCCCTCTTCAGCCTCTTCAGTTGATTGAAAAGGAACTTGGCTTTGCTCCTATGATAAATGGTTCATCTTCAGGAGCCACAACATCTAGACCAGATCCACTATCACAGCGTCCACCGCATAGCATTCATGTAAATCCAAAGTATTTGGAGAAGCAGCGTCTTCAACAGTCAAGCAGGGTAAATTCTACTATCCTCTTTTCCTTTTTTGGTATTTTATGCATCTGATTTTATTCAATATATTTCTGAAGCATATTTGGAGGTTTAAGGTTGCTCATGTTGATAGAGCGAGCACTTTGAATGATTTTTCTCAATCATTTCTTGTTCTTTCACCTTCCAACTTTAAGGATTCGTATTTTATGTAAATTCTCAACCTTGCACTTTAAATGCTTGTATTGTTTTGGTTTTTATTTGTTTTTATGTGATGAAGGAAAAAGGTATGGTCAATGATATGGTTGGGACTATGGCCAACTTAAAGGAGGATTCTGAGAGGCCAGCTAGAGCAGCCATTACAGCTGGACGGCCCTTTGGAGATCCTTCAGTTAAATTGAATGTATGTGAAGTATTTTGAAGTTTGTTATAATCTGTTTATTCCCTTTTCATTTTCTCCTTGTATTTGAAAATTATCAGAACATTCAGGGTTCTCATAGGGGTGTGTTTAACGAGCCTGTAAGTGAGGGGAACATTATTGGTACATTTGGTGAATATGACTATGGTTCTGATCTTTCACAGACTCATGGAATGGGAGTCGGAAGAACCAGTGGGAAGGTTACTGATCAAGGGCATGATAGGCCTTGGTATGGAGCTACAAGCGGTGTTACTGAGACATTTTCCGGCCAGAGGAATGGTTTTAATAGTAAGCATGGATCTCAAAATTACTCGGCATCCAAATCTGTGAATGCTGATCCTCGTTTACGGGCAACACAGAACATTGCTGGAAGAAGCAGTAGTGGGTTGTCTAGCAGCTGGAAAAACTCTGAGGAAGAAGAATTTATGTGGGAGATGCACTCTAGATTGTCAGAACATGATGCAGCCAACATCTCTAATAACTCGAGGAAAGATCTCTGGACTCCTGATGTTTCACAAAAAATGGTAAGCTTGCAAGAATAGGACTTGGAATTGGATTACATAATTTTGCTGAATATTTTTTTGAGAATTCTATTTTCTTAACTTGAAAATGATAAATTTTATCTATAAATTTAATTCACTGGAAACGTTTACAATATATATGTTTATACTCTTTTGTCTTTTTTATTAGAGTCTTATAAGCTCGTAAGGTATGGGCTTAAGATTAACTGCAGTCATAAATATGCATTATGAAAATGTAAATATAATGCATTATTCAAAAGCATTTTTAATTGGATTATTATGGTTGTTTGATTATTTACCCTTTTTTTTTATAGTTTTCTTTCATTTCTTTCCTTTAGGAATTTATTTTCTGGAGTATTTATAATTATCTCGGTTACATTTTCAATGGCAGGATTTTGAAAGTCAGCTCTGCAAAGCGCAAGGTATTGACGGTATGGGGTCAAGGATTGATAGAGAAACTTCTGCCGATTCATTATCCATTGAGCAGAAGAACAAAACTTCTTATGGGCGCCAGATTTCATCTGCATGGCCATTGCAGGAGTCACATAACACAGATGGATTGGCCGCTATTAATTCGAGCCATTCTGAAAGCTATTCTGCCACTATTGGTGGGTTGCCGACTGGCACAAGTTCTTCCCTGGCCAGGATAGGAATGCGACCACAAACAGGTAGGTCCCATATGGGAACCTCAGGCTTTGGGATTTTGGCAAATGTGGCATCAGGATCCACAGGTACTATAGGCCAGCAGCGTTTTCAGTCCCTGGGAACTGCATCATCTCCTGAACAGTCTCCTATGCGCCAGCGTTCACCGTCACCTTCATTTCCTGCACACCGTCCTCATCAACAGTTTCAGAAATTGGCTGAGCAAGACCATCCACAAACTCATTCCTTGCCTCGGGCTGATCCAAAACCATCCCATTTTTCAGGAAAGTTGAATGTTGGGTCTTATAAACACTCTCCTGAGGCTTCATCTGCTTCAATTTCTTCTTTTCAACCCAGCCGTCATTATCCCTTTTCACAGCCACCACAACCAGACTCCTTGCAGGCTGAACCTTCTGGTCAGACTCAGAAGCCACTTATGTCTCAGATCACCAAAGTAGGAGCAGCATCAACACTATCAGAGCATACCAATCCACTTCCTATTGAAACTTCAGAACCGTCAAGTACAAGTAGTCTATTGGCTGCTGTAATGAAGAGTGGAATCCTCTCCAACGATTCATTTACTGGCAGCTTTCCAAATAAGATTTCTCAAGATGTGGGGCAAACGCCATCACAGCCTCCTCTTCCAAATGGGCCTATGCCTGCTGTTTTTACAACCTTAGGCTTCGGGGTCGATACTGAAACTTTGTCAGCTTCTGCATCCCATGATGCAATAACAGCTACTGCAAATAGTTCTCAGGAAAAAGTAGAACAGCCGCCACTGCCTCCTGGGCCACCACCACCTTCATCCCTTGTTAGTAATGCCCCATTGCAAACTTCAGATGCAGAAAGCAAGGCTTCAAATCCAATATCCAATCTTTTGAGCTCATTAGTTGCAAAAGGTTTGATATCTGCATCAAAGAAGGATGCTCCATCTCTCTCGTCTCTTCAGATGCCTACTCAAATGCAGAAGAAGAGCCCGGGAATGGAAGGGCTAATGGAATCACTGAAAAAGAGCTCATCTCTCCCATCTCATCAGATGCCTACTCAAATGCAGAAGAAGAGCCCTGGAATGGAGAGGTCAACTGAATCACTGAACAAGAGATTAGACATTTCTACTAGTAGCTCTTTTCCAGCTTCTTCCATTCCAAGTTCATTGGATGCTCCTGGTTCCTTAACCATGGGTGAGTTATCATTTGCTGAACCTGCTACAAAAAGTTCATTTGTGTCACATCGGTTTGCCTCATTGGACGTAGAAGACCTCATAGGATTAGAATTCAGGCCAGATGTAATCAGAGAATTTCATTCATCTGTTATCAGTGGATTGTTGGATGACTTTCCACTTAGTTGCAGTTTTTGTGGTCTTCGACTTAAGTTTCAGGAACAGTTGGATAGACACTTAGAGTGGCATGCCCTGAAAAAGACTGATACTGCATTGAGGAGATGGTATGCTAGGTCAGACGATTGGATTGCTGGAAAGGCCAGGCAATTGGTATTTGAATCCACTGGTTCTGTGAACCAGTTGGATAAGACAACAGAAATGGCTGAGCTTATGGTTCCTGCAGATGAAAATCAATATGCATGCATGTTATGTGGTGAGCTATTTGAAGATTATTTTAGCCAGGACAGGGGCGAATGGATGTTTAAGGGAGCAATGTACTTGACTATCCCATCAAAGGATGGTGAGATAAGAACTACAAATGAGAGTGCAGCCAACAGTCTCATTGTGCATGAAAATTGTATGTCAGAAAGTTCAGTTCATGACTTGGGACTGGCTGGTGGTATTAAAATGGTAAGGTCACTTGTCTTCAAAAATCTTTTTCATATTTTGGATTAGTAACTTGTTTCTGCTCTATTTGCATTAATTTCCCATGTTTTTGTCACCTGATCATCACTCTCATTTCTTGTTAGGAGAAGGAAGTATAATGCTCTTGAGGTTAAAAATCGAGCCTTCAGTTGCTGTGCCACAAGTAGAACCTGATGAAAGAATCCAGGTTTACTTTTCCATAGCCTAAATGTCTAACAGCCCTTGTATGCTAGTTTTGTTGTGCCTCAGAAAGGTGTTGGAGAGTGTCTACTAGTTGTTCTTGCTCTCATTTTTCCCCTTTAGTTTTTTTTCATTTCAAAGGTATCATAGCCAGATAGAAGTACATATAAAATACCAGATCGTTTTTGCCTTACTTTTCTTCCCTAATGCGTTTAATATGTTGCATTATATTTTGTTTTTTGGTTGACTTTGCTGGAGTGGATTTGAAATTGATAAAAGAGAGAGGCACCGCAAGAGTCTGTTTATCATTGAATATAATGAAAGCCTTGAAGCAGAGGAATGTGATAATCAAAATACAAAAGCATATTCCACTAATTTTCCAGAGTTTTGACAGGCACCCTTCCCATCACTTGACTGATGAATTCGTGAAACTGCAACAGCTAAATCTCTGATGCTTTTTGCGTTTTGACTGACTGTTACCAAGGGAGGAATATCATTTTCCTCGCTTTACACCATTAACAGCTAATTCCGTCGCAGAAGAAAATTCTTTTGGCTTTGGTTATCCAGGAACTAATAATATCTGACTACCATACTTGCACGATTCAAAGTACGCCAAAAAAAAAAAAAAGAAAAGAAAAAGGGAAATCTCAGCCTTTCTTCCTACTTCCAAGAAGGGTATGTTTTGCACTGAAAAATATACTTGCCCTTTCCTTTGATTTTTGATCCCAGTTCATATAAAAATTCAACGGCAAGCTTGAAACAAATGAAATACTTAATCATTACTTAATTGCATCATATATATATTTACAAAAGAAGCTGTAATTTAAAAATATGAAAAGAAATTAACTGCATGAATTAATTAGATTAAATCGTAAGTTTATAAAGTTTATATTCTTTATTAGTCAGTATGGTTTATAGTACTATATTACAACTAATGCTGGTAGTTACATTCTTTTTTGCTTTCGGCCTTGGTCCTTGGGGTAATATGGTTACATACAACTTCAATACTACATGCAATTTTTCTCTTGATTTTTGAGCATAAAAAAGTACATGCTATATTATTATTATTATTCCTTGTATGGATTATATATCTAAGGCTTATGATGTTGAGTGTAGATGTAATCCAGATGAGCATCAGCAATCATCCTTCTTTTCAGACATTCTTCATCTTTCTCATAGCACTCTTCTGATCCCATCAACTGCACCACACAAAAAAAACACCAAATTAGCCTATAAAATACAGATATTTAACTAAAAAAAAAAAAAGAGAAGAAAAAGCGAAACTCTTACATTTGAGAAATCTTCTTTTATATCAGTCAATAAACCAGCCTGAATGATACCGTTACCTGTGAAATAAGTTTACAATTTGACACATCTTTTAAACAAAGCCCAGAGAAAAGTGAAAGGAATCGAAAAGGAGCAAAAGGGTTTTTCTCAATAACCTTGCTTCTGTGGCAGGAGACGAGCAGATGCTGAGTAGAAGCAAAGAAACAATGCAAAAAGCAGAAAGGTTATGATAAACTTTGCCTTCATTGCTTTTATTTCTTTCTTTTTTTTTTTTGTTTAAAGACAGAACTTTGAGAAAGAAAGAGAGTATGAAGCAGATGTAGTGGTGCAAGGGTAGTCTGTATAAATAGCAGCAGATGCAATGATCCTTACAATTAAAATCCACGAGATTGAAAAGGACTACTTCATAATTTAATCTCACATGTATTAGAAAAACAGTTGATATATAGAATAATTGGTTCTAATGGTATGAAAACTTTGAAATGTAGACTTAAAAATAAGCCTAAAAATGTATCATCATATAAGAATAGAGACTAAGATTTCATTTGAATAAACTGTGAGATTAATTTTAATAAAATTAAAAATAACAATAAAATTATTGTAATTACAATTAAAAAAAATTATTATAATTGTAATTGAAAAAAAATTAAACAAAAAACTTATATTCAATAAATTTTATTAAAATTAATATTTAAATTCAACTAATGATATAATACAATTAAAATTTATTAAAATTAATATTTAAATTCAACTAATGATATAATTTGATTTAATTGCACTATACTAAACATATGATGAAATCAAACCTTAGCTAGGACTAGGAAGAGCACCAAAGTCCACGGAATTGTATTTAAAGGGGCCATGCCATTGTCTCCCATTGTTATTGGTGGTAGTGGGGGAGTGGGGACCTAATTCTCCAAAAATCAAAGTTGCCAACGATCTCAACAAGAGGATGAACAACAAACTAAAGGATAGAAACCCTAATCCACTTCCATTTATAAAAATATATAAGTATAATTTTTTTTTTCTAAAAGAGGAAGAAATTTGGGCCAAAATCATAAAATATATGTCATTCTTTTTGTGTGTGGAAAATCAAGGTTGAAGAGAATAGAATAAGACTCACCAAAGCGTCAACACAACAACTCAAATCTATGGACTTACTACTACCATTACCCATTATTTGGCCGACAGCTGTTTCCCTTGTTTCACACTTACCTTGAGTTAGACGAACGCGATAACGTTTTACCACTTTTTTTCATTTTTAATTTAGATTAAATTAAGAATTTAATGTTTATTTAAAAACAATAATTTCATTTTCTTTTAAAAACATATATTTATAAGTACCATAACCATAAGAAAGGATCTTTCCCCTTGTTGAATCCACTTTATTTTGATTTTTGAATTAAGGGATTAAAAAAAATTTCAAAGATATGAATACAATGTTTAATTTTATTTTTTATATAATTATTTTTAAAAATTAACATTCGATAAAAATAAAATTTTAAATTTTAACATCTATAAAAAATAAAAATGGATGAATATAAAAAATTTATTAATAGTTAAACTACAAAATAAAAAAGTACTATAAATTTTAGTCATTACATTAACAAATTTTTTATCTTCATTTTTTTTAAAATTTTTTTTATCAAATAAAATTTTAATCTCATGTTATTATTTTTTTTTGTAAATATATATATATATATATATACACACACTCATATAAGTATGACTGGGCTCCAATTAGATATTAGAGCTTTATATTTAATTTCCTTGCTAAAACAGATAACTAACAATAGAGTCAACAGTCGTTAGCTTCACCAACTAGCGAGATATGTACGAACTATAAGGTAAGTAGGTAATGGCTAAGTATTTAATTATCTTATATTTTATGGTCCTTAAAGTCAAGAAGAGGACATTTAAACTGCAAAATTTTTGAATGCTCGTTTATTTTTAATTACCCTTAGCAGACCAATTTGTGAAAAAGAAAAGACCAAAGTCCAAGTTCTCTTGAACCCAAATTTTAAAGTTGAGATGATTATCCTTTTTTTGTAGTTTCTTTGAGTATTAGGAACATCGGAAAAGGAACAAGACAATAGATTATACCGTGATTTAATTAATATTAATTAATTAAATTTATAATTTAATTTAATTAATTCATATATTTAATTTTAAAAATTAATTTTTTTTTCTATTTTCAGATTATCAAATTGCAGTCTTTTTTATAACGAAAAGAATTAATTTGATAATATTTGATGAATTAGAGTGAGCTAATTTATTTTTTCCTTTTTCTTCTTGAAATTTCGAAAGGGAAGATGACACTTGGTGAGTGATAATTTTGCGTCATTGTTTTGTAACGTAACTCCGACGACAAAGGAAAAAAAATCAAGCTAAAGCTAAGCCTAAATTTCAACGAAAAAGAATCAGGAAAAAGAAATTATAGGAGATAGAAAGCTTGTCAATTACTGTCTTTGAACTTGTCGATACAAGCATGACAAAGCCCACTCACAAGTTTTTCTAAACAACACTAGTAATTAATTTATTATTCTTTCCATTAATCAAATCGATTCACAATAATTTAAAACACACTTAAATGTGATACAATGACAAGACACTATTATTCTTGGCTTGATGATTAAACAGTTTAAAAATATATATGAGGTGCGAGTTTGAACCCCACCATTTTCATCTCTATCCTTTATTCAATAAAAAAAAATTCTAGCGCCAGCAACGCCTTCATCATGGTTGAGTGCATCCATTTCTTCCCTGAACATGGCAATGGCAGCCTTGGGTAGGGAAACTAACACTCTAACACCACCTTTCATTGACTGATCTAGTTTTAAAGGAGGCAATAAGAGAACCAAATCCACGTAGCCAAACATGTCCCATGGAAGTGTGGTATCAAGTTTACAGCACCTTTCCATCCAAACTCTACATCTTCTAATAGTCCCAACTGTCTCCGGTCTGTTATTACCATGTTTGCACCACTGGCTATTTCAAACTTCATATTCAATTCTCTCAACTTCTCGTTAATGCTTAACAATTTCCAGATATAATCATTATTAGACGCAAGCTTTTTGCTCTCTTTGATTTGTTTCACAGCTTTTGTGAGTGATCCTTCATTGAGCTCCCTCCCATTTATTGCTGTATTTGCAGACGTAAAAGCATTCACGTAATATCCTTGAGGCAGTGGTGGATTGAGAGCTCGTCTTATCCTTACAGCCATGCTCAACACTGTATTTCCATTAGAATTCAATTTTAAAGCTCTAAATCTTGCACTCCAAATATAGGCTGCTAGGACCTCAAGACTTGTTACACTTTCTTTCAGAAATTCATCCTTACTTTCTTTCATCAAAGTCGTTTTTAGTCTTTAACTCTCCCCGGTTATATAAAAGCACTCGAGGACTATGTCAGTGGTTGGCAGATGCGGTGAAGTTGCTAAAGAGTCCTTATCCACTATAAACTGAGGGATTTCTTGGGTTGGTTTTGCTACCAATAACTGCCTCTCCCACACAGGTTTAACTGAGGACTCACTCTTTCCGCTTGCAAACTCAGCCACGGCACGAAAGAATTGAGATGCACCAAAGCCGTCACAAACTGAGTGTGATAAGCTCAATGCAATTGTGAATCCTCCACATGAGAATTTCGTTACCTGCAAGGCTAGAGGGTGATAACCATCGTCAGATTCAGATGGAAAGTCAAAGGCAAATTGTTTAGCAGCTTCAAGGTCTATGCCATCTAAGTAATTCAAAGTAGAGAGGTGGCAGTTGGCAGATGCCACTAAGAAAGGCACCCCATCAGCATTGCAGCTAATTCGAAGTTTTCCATCAGTCTGCCTCTTCAGCTTCCCTGCTAGTGGATAGTAATAAACCAACACCTTGGAGAGAGCTTCCTCAATTATGCAAGCTGGGTCTTTTAGCTCCTTTTGTTTCGGTTTAACTTCATCAGGACTGTCTTCTCTACAGAAAAAGGGAAACTCAGCCTTTCTTCCTACTTCCAAGTAGGATATGTTTTGCAATTAAAAATATACTTGCCCTTTCCTTTGATTTTTAATCCCAGTTCACATAAAATTCAACAGCAAGCTTGAAACAAATGAAATACTTAATCATTACTTAATTGCATCATATATTTATATTTACAAAAGAAGCTGTAATTTAAAAATATGAAAAGAAATTAACTGCATGAATTAATTAGATTAAATCGTAAGTTTATAAAGTTTATATTCTTTATTAATCAGTATGGTTTATCGTACTATATTACTACTATTGCTGGTAGTTACATTCTTTTTTGCTTTCGGCCTTGGTCCTTGGGGTAATATGGTTACATAAAACTTCAATACTACACACAATTTGTCTCTTGATTTTTGAGCATAAAAAAGTACATGCTATATTATTATTATTCCTTGTATGGATTATATATCTAAGGCTTATGATGTTGACTGTAAATATAATCCATATCAGGTTCTGCAATCATCCTTCTTTTCAGACATTCTTCATCTTTCTCATAGCACTCTTCTGATCCCATTAACTGCACCACACAAAAAAACACCAATAAGCCTATAAAAAACAGATATTTAACTAAAAAAAGGAGAAGAAAAAAGGAAACTTACATTTGAGAAATCTTCTTTTATATCTGTCAATAAACCAGCTTGAATGATACCATTAGTTTTAAACTCATTTTCACCTGTGAAATAAGTTTAAAATTTAACACATCTTTTAAACCAAATCCATGAAGTAGAAAAGTGAAAGGAAACTAAAAAGGAGTAAAAGGGTTTTTGTCAATAACCTTGCTTCTTTGGCAGGAGACGAGCAGATGCTGAGTAGAAGCAAAGAAGCAATGCAAAGAGCAGAAAGGTTATGATAAACCCAATAAATTTTACCTTCATTGTTTTCATTCCTTTCTTTTTCTTTGTTTAAAGACAGAACTTGAGAGAGAAAGAGAGTATGAAGCAGATGTAGTGATGCAAGGGTAGTCTGTATAAATAGCAGCAGATGCAATGATCCTTACAATTAAAATCCATGAGATTGAAAAGGACTGTTTCATAATTTAATCTCACATGTATTAGAAAAATAATTAATATATTTAATAATTGGTTCTAATGGTATGAAAACTTTGTGTAGACACTCATTTATGTTCGGAATCAATTAGGCCCATTGATATCTGAGTTCAATTGGGTCCATTGACGTTCGGGCCTAATTAGGTCCATTTGTGTCTAGGCCTAATTAGGCCCATCCTTGGTTGGGTCCAATTAGATAGTTTTTTTAAGTTGTTGTTGTTGTTATTATTATTATTATTATTATTATTATTATTATTTTTCATTTTTCATTTTTTGTGTTCTTTTTTTTTTTTTCTGCTTTCCTTTTTTATCCAATTTGCACGTGGACGATCGAAGAGAGAATCAGAATCATTGGTAAAAGTTTTAATTGTAAATCGAATTGCTGAAATTTTAGACCCAAAAATCACGTTGGACAGAATGTAATCTCAAGATTTAAGCATAGGATTGATTCTGTTCGTTTCCAAAAATCGTTTCTAAGATTGCCTATAAATTGGACTAATTTTATAGAGGGAAGACATAGAAATTTTTTTTAAAAAAGCTTGGAAAATTTTGGGCATTAGGGATATTCTAGAAATTTTTGGATTTCGGGTTCAATTTGGAGTTTTAGGCTTGATTTTAGGTTATTAGAGTTGGAATTAGGATTCTATGAGGTTCTAGGAGTATTCTGGGCAAATTTTAGAGAAATCTGAGGAAGGCTCGAAGAAATCTAGGTCTTTCTAGGTTTTTTTAAGAACATGAGTTTTTCGATTAAGTTTTCGATGATCGGTTGAGTTTTTCGATCAAGTTCCAGCAAATTTTCTAGAAATCGATGGGATTTTCAATTTTTGATTGAATTTTTTGGTGACTTTTTCCAAAATTTGGTAGAATTTCCAATTTTTGATGGATTTTTTGAGAGTTTTAGAGAGAAGGCAGAAAAAAGCTGTGGTAAAGAGAGAGAGAGCATAAAGCATCTAAAGAACAATGCTAAAAAGTGCCATTTATATCGACCTAAAATGATGCTGTTTTGGCACGCCTTGACTTGCGGGTGACATGATAAGGATTAGTGCATTGACCTTGGTTTTGACCTGACTCGATCATAGGTTTTTCTTTTTTCATTTTATTTTTAACCTATTTTATTATTTTATTATATTATTATTCTAGATTTAATAAAAAAAGAAAGAAAGAAAGGTTATTACTGCCATTTTGTTTTTGAAAGAAAGAAAAATAATTCTAAAAAAAATCTTTTCAAATAATAAAAATATTTCTAAATAAAGTTTTCAAAATAATAAAAAAACTTTCAATATAAAAAAAAAAAGAGGGTATTTTCAAGTGAACAAAATAATTTTTATCCTCTAAACTATTAAAGGATTGCTTCAAAGTAAGTTCTATCAACTTATTATGAGACTTTACTAATTTTTCTGTAATAAAATAAATTAATAAATTCGATGACGAAGTTTCTTTAGAATAGGATACTTGTATCTATGAATACTCATGAGGTGAGAAAATTATCTTAAATTGCTACCAAACTATTGAGACAATTTTAAAATTTATTTTTAATGTTAAATTATTTGGTAAATCATAAAATGATCAATGCTTGGATAATTTAAAATCAAATTGATACTATCATTTGGATGGGCATTGTAGAGGTGCTACAATATTTCTCATGCGTAATCGACTTCCAAACCTACCATCTGTTTTCGCAGATCAAAATATTTTTAGGTGGCCAATCACACATAAATAAAAAAGATTAGTGGCGACTCATTTTCATCCATGTCTAGCGGTAGGTCCATGGATCTATACGTTATAACAGCTTGGCGACTCCACTGGAGACATTGAAAGTCAAGCTAGTAAATGATTTCTTATTATCTAAGCCTTGCTTAATAAGTTTGAAATTATTTTATTCTCTTTTATTGCTTATATTTGCTTTATTATTTATTTTCCTTTTCATTGTGTACACCTGCTTATTTTTTATTGCTTATATTTGCCTAATTATTTATTTATTGTATATATCTATCATTCATTTGCATGCACATAACATAAGCCCTCCACTCGGGCTCTACCTTTAGGAGAGAGTGAAGTACCTATGCCCTCGTGAGATTTTATGTCTCTGTTTGGGCCCGCGAAATACTCTCACTCAGATTGAACCCTTTTTGCTTGTAGCCTATGATAGGTGAGGATTGTGGTGCTTTACTAGTCTACAATGGACCATAATATAAGGAACAATTTGGGAACCTTTAAAAATTAACCTAAACCATATATAGTTAATCTTAAGAGCCCAACCATAGATAGAGTTTTATCTTCCCACCCCTTTATAGTTAACCCAAAATCCTATGTCATGCTGTTATATTAACTGGCTATTTGGTGTTTTTTACTTGCTTTCTTGAAGTGACTAACTAATCTTTTTATCTTTTTTATTTCTTTTCTTTTTGTGTACATTCATAAATATGTTTACGATTGCATAGTGTTATTTCCCCAAAGCTATTTTAACAAAAACCTTAATAGATTCCATAAAACGTTAGGTTTATGCCTCATCTATGCTTTTCAAATGTGACTCGCCTATAGAGGTAAAGTTAGAATCAGAAAAGAAATAGTGAGAAGAAGAAGATTGCTTACCATCAGGTTATGTCTCTACACTATCAAGAAAAGTTCACCTATTCTTTAAACATAATGATTTAAAAAGCCTATCAGATATATAAAATAGTATGACTCCTTCAAGGCATGAGGCTTTTTGTGAGAAGTTTGGGCATATTGCATATATCTTATCAGTAGAGATTGACCACTCACTTATTAAAGTGCCGGTATAGTTTTGGGATATTTTCTATCAATGTTTTCATTTTGAATAAGGTTGATTTAGTACCAACAATAGAGGAGTACTTAACTCTAGTAGGTATACATTTACTGTATTAAGATAGAATAAACATGAAAAAACATAAATCAAGAAGTCATAAGAAGCTAGGTCAAATTTTAAAAGTGAGAAAGGAGGTCATAGATTCATACATCCGAAAGAAAAGATATCATAAGGGTATCCCATAGGAAATCCTTCAAGATTTCATTATCAAGCATTTAGATGATGATTAGGAAATGAATGCATTTGCTCTAGCTATATATGGGTTGATCATTTTCTCTAAAGTTTTAAGCCACATTGAGATAGAAGTGGTGGATTTATTTGAGTAGATTAAGAGGGGGTGTAATCTTTCATCAGTTATCTTAGTAGAAATCTTCAGATCTCTGAATTTTTGTAGGTAGAATGACAAAGCACATTTTATGAGCTGTATTCCCTTATTATATATATGGATGAAAAGCCATTTTGAATGCAAAAAAAATGCTTTTACCAAACTTTATTTCTACACTCGGAGTCCAATTAGGAAATTCTATTAGAGTATTTGGCCAAAAGCAAAGACTTATAAAGAGTAAAAGTGTTTGTTGTAAGGGCTCATAGCTAGTCAGGTAAAATGGTTAGCTCCGTGGATGAACAAGGAACTTATGTTGTATCAATGTAGAGATGAGACGGGGGTTCCACTTTTAGGTTTATGAGGGTTAATGAGTTATGCACCATTTATGGTAAGGAGACAGTATGGATTTGAGTAGTTTACTCTTATGACCTATAAGCTTAACCAATTTGACTGTTCATATGGGGAGCCCGAAACTTTTCAAAAGATTAATAGCATGGTTAAGGCATGGAAGAAGTCTAAAAGAATCATTCCAGAGCCATTCAATGATAGAGTCACTCAAGGGTATTTGATTTGAAAAAATAAGAGGGGTTAGGAGATTTCATTTATGCCTCAGGATCATTACCTGCCAGTAGGCTAAAAGTTAGACAATAAGCTTTTAGAGTTAGAGCATGAAATGGAAAAAGAGAAACTGAAGTAAAAAATTTTGAAGCTATAGGAGAAAATAAAGTAGTTGAAGTGGTAAAATAAAGTAAAAAGATTAAAAATCTAAGTTCATAAGATCTTCAAAGAATACAACAAGGCTCAGAAAGTTGTTAGAGAATGGGATGATACCCTTAAGGAGTTGAAGGAGTTACGACAAGAACATAAGAGGTTACGTATATGGGTGCAGGCCAAAGAAATAAACAACACAGATCTGGCTTATGAAAATGAAGTGTTGAAAAAAAAGCATATCCAAATAAAAGATGACTTTGTAGAGGTTGAGCATGAGAATCAAATGTTTACAGATTACATTTTGACTTTAACATTGAAGTTGAATGAACAAAAAAATCGTGTCAGAACCCTCATAGAAAGATATAAAGAGTTATCCTATCAGGTATGATACGACAAAAAAAAGGTTAGAAAGATAAAGATACATAGAATATCTCACAGGTCAGATAGGTAAAGCTATGATCAAAGCAAGTGAGATGGTAAAAAAGATTGAGGCACTGAGAACTTCAGTTACACCAGCAAGAGAGCATGGACAGAGGCTATTAAACTTCATTGAGAAGGCTAAAGATCAGTATGAGTAAGTTAGACATTTCTATAGAGGGATAGTATTAGATTTGATGTAAAACAGACTTCTGTAGAATAAATGAAAGTTTTCTTTTGTTAAATTTCTTTTAAAGGGTAAATATTTTTTTCTTTTCTCTATTTTTTTTTATCTATTTGCATCACACTCATTCATTCATTATCATAACATCATCATTGAATCTTCAATTGTGGTACTAAGGTGCGAGAATAGCTACACATCCATACAATACTCGGCTCAAGCTAAAAAGATGAAATAGGACAATACAAGTCACTTTGAAAGGATAGAAAAAGCTTAAGAGTCACTAGAGGAAAAGTTAAGCAAGATTTTGAAAGCCTTAAAAAAAGTAAATAAAGGAAAATCGATGGAAGAAGATACTTCACAAGAAGCTATTGAATCAGCATATCCTCCAGGCTTCGGTCTGTAACAAACATAAACTACCTAAATATTCCAACCTCAACAGACAGCTTTTTCAAAATATAATTACCCGGGAATAACTTATGCACCTGGTCATAAAAATGTCTAAAGTTATGATAATTTTATTTTTACCAAAGAGATAGTTGAGCCCATTT